TTCAAAGGCATCAGTTCTTCAGCGGTCTGCTTTCTTTATGGTCCAGCTCTCACTTCCATACATCACGACAGGAAAAACTATAGCTTTGACTATTCGGACTTTTGTTGGCAAAGTGATTCTCTGCTTTTTAAGATGCTGTCGAGGTTTGTCATCGCTTTCCTCCCAAGAAGCAGGCGTCTTTTAATTTCGGGGCTGCTGTCTCCATCTGCAGTGATCTTGGAGCCCAAGAAAGTAAAATCTGTCACTGCCTCCATATCTTCCCCTTCTATTTCCCAGGAGGTGATGGGACCAGTGGCCATGATCTTGGTTTTTTTAATGTTGAGTTTCAGGCCGTTTTTTGCACTTTCCTCTTTCACCCTCATTACAAGGTTCTTTCATTCCTCTTCACTCTCTGCCATCAGAATGGTATCATCTGCATATCGGAGGTTGTTGATATTCTGGCAATCTTAATTCCGGTTTGGGATTCCTTCAGTCCAGCCTTCCGCATGATGTATTCTGCATATAAGTTAAATAAGCCGGGGGACAATATACAGTCTTGTCGTACTCCTTTCCCAATTTTGATATCATAGTCACTGCTAACCCCAGGGCTTTGATCCAGCAATCTCTAGCTCCACTACATTGCTGTCAGTGAGACTGCAGGTTGGTAGAGTGGAGCCCAGTGTCTTCATTAAATGACGCTAACTTAGTGTCTCTTACTGAGCAATTTCTGTACATAAGGTTACCGTGTTTCCACCAAAATAATACTGTACATGGTCTTATATTAATTTTTGTTCCAAAAACGCATTAGGGCTTATTTTTGGAGAATGTTTTATTTTTTTTCCCCATGTACAACAATCTACATTGATTCAAATACAGTCATGTCATCTTCTGCTGCTGCTGCACAATGGTCCAGGGCGGGGTTTCACTTAACTGGGGCTTATTTTTGGGGTAGGGGTTATAGTACAAGGATCCTGAAAAAAATCATACTAGGGCTTATTTTCAGGTTAGGGCTTATTTTCAGGAAAACAGGGTACATTGAGATAGAAAGAAGAGGAAGAAACATTGTTCTGCTTTCTCTTAAACTACTTGGTCAGTCAGTGAGTTCTTAGTTCCTTGTATACCCTTCTACTTAAATTTTCATTTTGGAATCAGCTGTTGTACTACTTTATACTTGAGTGGAAAAACATCAGTCCAACTGCTAGCGTAAGATCAAGCCCTCTGAAACATCATTTCAGACCATGCAACAATGTATCAACACCTACAGATCCTTTGCTAGGCCATATGCTTATGTACTATTATCATACCATTTATAGCTATGCTTGCATCTACATCTAATGAATCCCTTGTGTTTGCTGATCTAAGTACACTTCTTCTCCATAAGGACATTCTCATATTCTCCTCCATCTGCCAATAGGAGCCTGGAGACACTTGTCGTACTGTTGGAGATGCACTATTCCTAAGCCGCTTACACCTGGTGGATTGTCAAGTCAGATGGGTGTTATGAAAGCAGTTCAAAATCCACCTTTAAAATACCCTGAAGGTTGTACTAGGTTTATTATACTGGATTGGTTACTTGAATTCACCCACATCATTTGAGACATATTTGTACACATATAATTTAATGCAAATACTTTTCATCTTTTTGTTTTTATGTCTGCATCAAATACATCTTTGCATGGATAAAAAAATAAAAACTTTGTATATATTTGTATGTATGTTCTGGATTGTTGCTGAAGAAGAAATATATGTTTTAAATATTTGTGTAGCAAAGGTACACATGAACGCACACACACACATGGAGAGAGAGGAGGAGGAGAAGAAAAGGAAAGAGAAAGAATTAAAAGATTTTTTTAAAAAAATCCTTGATATTTGACTCCCTTATTTCAGATGTGTATGACAACTTCACAGTAGCTATGCAGAAGCAATGGGAGATGTAGACGCAAACTAGGTCCATGCATATGTATTAATTGTACTTAACATGTCTTATGTTTACTGCCTTATGGTAGGGCCAGTCCTGTTGATTAGAAATGGAAGTTTTGTATTCATATCCCAGGGGATGCAAATACAGTGGTGCCCCGCATACCGACGTTAATCCGTTCCAGGATTAACGTCGCTATCCAGATTCTTCACTATGCGGGGGGGGGAACCCCATAGGAACACATTAAATGCATTCCCCCTTCCTGTGGGGGAAGAACTCACCGGAAAGCGAAGATTCCCCCATCCGGCCGCCATTGCATTCCCCCTTCCTATGGGGGAAGAACTCACCAGAAAGCGAAGATTCCCCCATCCGGATGCCATTTTCGCTGCCCGGTAAGCTAGAGCAGGGCGCGAAAACACTGCGGGCAGCCATTTTGCTGATCAGGTGGCCATTTTGGAACTGCCAATCAGCTATTTTCTAAACATCGCAAACGCTTACCGATCATCGCAATGCGATGTTTAGCCTGTCTAAACATCTCAAACGCGTCACTATGCGGATTTGTCGTTAAATGCTGCGCTTGTTATGTGAGGCACCACTGTATAAAGCTCAGCCTCATAGATGCCACTGCGGACCATTTCCAACACTATCCTGAACCCCAACCTCGTCCACTCACAGGGCTCCTCGCAGCATGTGTGTCTGTTGGCAGTGACATCATACCAATTGCGGACTTAGTCCTGCCAGCACCGCCCTACCTCTCCCCTCAGCCATCTGCTCGAGCTTCGTATCCGTGTCTCCTGGGAAAAGAATACAAAACTCCCATGTCCACTGTTGACCAATGCATATAGCCATCTGCTCGAGCTTCGTATCCATGTCTCCTGGGATATGAATACAAAGCTCCCATGTCCACTGTTGACCAATGCATATATTTATTTCAAATATTTTTTCACCACCTTTCTCCTTGAAAAGGACCCGTGGCAGCTTACAGCATTGAAAGACAATATTTAAAGTTGGAAACAATGAGTATACAATGGTGGTTAAAATCATTAAAAGACAATATTCAAAGCTACGAAGAATGAGTATAAAGATGCATCTTACGTCATTTAAAGACAATATTAAAGCTAAGGACAAAATTATATGAATATTAAAAAGGAAAAAAACAGATGGCACTCTGCTAAATGGAAAAGACAAAAATGGAAAACACCAGTACTACTAAA